CTTTTGGAGAAAAGAAAAGCCAAGTATACAGTGCCTCTCCATTAATGCACAACAGCAGCAATATGTTTTTCAATGAATTTTAGGTGGAATGGATGCTTCACAAGTGTACACACTTGATAGATTTTCATCAATATTTTGCAGTGACAATACCTGAAGAAATTGCTTCATCTGTTAAAACACTAAACTCAGGGTATGCTTTATTCTTCATCTCCACAGTCACAATGCACCAACAGTGACTTTATGCTCAGTCATTTTTAACACACACACAAAACAGCAGCAAGAGGAAAAACCCCAAACAACAACACAAAACAGCCAACAGAAAAACAGAAAATATAGTTTTCAGGGGTCAAGGTTTTCCTCAACACCTTCTGGTTTAATCTGGCATAAACGGTAATAGAACTGAAATAGTGTATCAGATCTTTCAAGATTCAAGATCTAAAACAAGATAGAAATAAAAAGTATAAAAAGTAATGTAACACATTTGACATTTGTACAAACAAATCAAAAACACCCAGAAAACCTAAGTTTCTATGGCTCCAAGACAAATTACAGTTTTTAATCCAAAACTGCTTTTACATGTTTACTGATTCCAACCAAAAACCTAGATCTGCTTTTTTTTTGCCCCCTAGTCTTTGGAGCAGAACTGCATCACAACAATCATCTACTCATTTGATTTGAAAGTATCAAAAATACCATAAACAGATACTGATTAACTGCATTTACCACTGTTTCCCTGAGCCCTTTACAGCACTTCAGTTAGGTGTATGAAAGAAAAACAAAATGTCAAAATTCTGAAATATTTTACTTCTTATTTTTTCAGACTTCCTAAGTCCAGATCTGAAAATCATACACAACATATGGTACAAAAATCAGTGATTTAAAAAAGACATTAGTCAATTAAAAATGCAAAGGAATGTTTGATTAGTCTGAAGAGCACATATATGCCAAGTCCCAGTTTAAAAGAGTTGCTCATAATATCACAGTTCTAAAACTGAATTGAGATTTGCTTTCATTTATGTTAATTTTTAATTAATCAGCAGGGAAAACCATTCAAATAAGTGATAGTGAAAAATTCTTTTGATGTTTCACTTGTTAGTGCAACCGATCTGAGTTGGAAAGGCTGATTTTTCGCTGGGTAACAACTGAATCCAGCAGAGAAGGCAGAGATCATTTCTCGGAATGCAATCAAATAAGCAAGGTCAAAGGGAGGAAGTTGGGAAGGGCCCGAAGCAGTTGTTACTCCTGTTTGGCTACACCTCCAAGGACAGCGTTCTCAGTTTCTCTGAGAGGTCAGAGTCAGTGCAGCAGCACACACACACTGGTCAGACGGGCAGTGGTTATTCAAATCCATCTCTGCACTAAACCTTCACCTGCCCTGAAGCGAGGAACAGTCAGACTTTGAAATTCCCCAGAGGAGCAGCAATACTTAAACGCATTCAAGACCAGGCCCGTTGGTTGGGATGCTGAACCCGAGTCCTCGTGGCAAATGACACCATCTCAGCTTCCACCTGATTTGAAAAGCAGTACTTCTGAAAAGGGCGTTTCCTGGAGTCTCTTCCCCTACAACATTTGTAACTACCAACCACTAAACCTTCTGAACTGACAAGACCACAGTAAACAACATCCACTGCGTGGTGAGGAAAGAAACCAATTACTTGCTTCAATATGACTAAAGATTGTCAAGATAATTCTCAATAAACAACAGATGCTTACCGAGATGGTAACAGATGTTATACATTCCTACAGAACCCTGTTACTGTATACATGATACTTTGAAGTGATAGAAAAAGTAGCCATAGAAAAGGGAAATTTTAAAGTAAAAATTACTAGAGATCAAAATCTGTATAACCAGTACTTTTCAAGCATTACTACTTCTAATGAAAAGCTTTCCTGAAGGAATAAACTGGTTCATATGCTTTACATTTTACACCTTTCTCTACTGACAGGTTTGTACAGCTGCTGCTCTCAGCCCTAGCAAAACCAGAGTATTTTTGAAGAGAAATGCTGAATAAGCAGCAAGACTAGGTAATATTTTCCTATTCCCCTGAGGAGGCTGATTAAATTATATGAATGAAAACTGCCTAACTTAGGTAATCTAGGGACTTCCACTAATTTTAAAATATACCTGCTTTTGAATCTGTTACTACAGAAGATGCATAACTCTACAGAAAAGCTTCAGACAGGTTCCTCGGGAGATGTCAAATGACCTGCACAATGGAATCAGCAGAGTAAACTTACTTTCACATCTGCTCACAATCACTTTCCAAATACAAAGCACATACCACCCTAAAACTGCCAAAGAAATATTTAGTTGCAGTCTGAATTACTGATATAGTGCTATTTCACAGAACACTTTCTGTGCTGCAGCATTGTCCAAAAGCTCTAATTTAGGAGCCACCAAAATCAGAAAATCAGCATGGTTTTTTCTTCATGCCCCCATACCTCAGGTATCTCTCTCTGCTGCACAGCAAAGAATTGATTCACTCTACTTCATTGAAGTAGTGGGCAAGTTTTATTAATATGCATTTTTCCCTCAAAGCAGGAGTGGCTCATTTGCACAGCAACAGTTTGGAGTTTACAGATTACTCACAATTCACCACTGCTACAACTCTCTATTAATTAAGAAAGCTATTTCTACCAGTCAGAAAATCAGTGGGTACAAGATTTACTGCCTAGGCTCCTCAGGAAGCACTTGTCACATAGAAGCTGTATGCATTGTAGCAATCAGCATGCTAAGCAGTCTTCTCCTAGTTTGAAACTTTCAGTTCTATTATTTTATTATATCTATTAGTAAAATTGGCTACTTCAAAATTCTTTTTTTTTCCTCCTCTACCAAGTCAGGGAATGTTGGATGAGATTTGCTACAGGCAGTTCATGCTGTGAAACTACACTTCAAAAACCAAGACTTGGGGCAGAAATGGTTTTAGCCATACTTCTGTCAGAGTCTCTCAGTGCTCAAAGGAGCTTTCTCTACCTAATTTCACCAGATGATCCAATTTCATACACAGAATCACACACCGGTTTGGGTTGGAAGGGGCCTTAAAGATGACCTAGCTCTGAACCCCCTGCCATGCGAATCTTCCACTAGACCAGGTTGCTCAGAGGCCTATCTCATGCATGCAAAATAACATTTAATATTGATGGTGAATCTCAAAGAATGAGAAGAGTTGAGTCATTTTCTGTTGGATACATCTAAAAAAACTGTCATGGAAAAATACTGATTCAGTAAATGACCTCTTTCACTCTGCAGCATTAGTGAACCATACTCTAATGAACTTACTGGCACAACATGCCAGCAAAAATACTTGCTTCAGATGAAGCACATTCAAATTTTTCACACTTATAATCATCTACCACAGAAAGAAAACATTCAGTTAACACAACAGTTTTTGTATAAAAAGCACTATTCGCATCATAGAGCTTCATACCAGTAAAGCTACAAGACATTTAAACATGCAAACACAGTAATGCACATATTATCTTGCTACAGAAAAGATGTAAAATCGTGCAAATGCCTCTTCCTTAAAACTCTCCTCGGAAAACCACCAAGTTTAAATTCTACGAGGCAAATTATACAGATCATTACATTCACTCAAGATTATATCAAATTTGCTGGCATCAAATCTGTTTACTGAATATAAAAAAATACCAAAGCCACCTGTTTCAGAAGTCTAGTCCACAGTTGCATTTTTTCCTAATTTATTACACAAGTGCTATTAAAAGAGTATTTCCCTACTGAGGAACATAATATTTATACCATTATATTTAATTAACAAAAATGGAAGCCATTCTTAGAAATAATTTGTATGCCTTTAAAATAAATTCTTTTGCTGTATTAAAAAAAAACACCAAAAAACGGAATTTGTGACAATTAAGGACTGGCACACATAGTCACGTTATAAGAACCAGAGCTGTAAACAGCCTGTCTGCAGGGAGATACCTGTAGCTTTCAGCAGAGCACAGAGGAATTATCCAGCAGCAGTTGCAGTTTGAAAATTCATAAGCTCAAGGTAGACATATTTCGTAAAACTCGTAATAAAAACGTTAAGTTACAGTGCAAGAAAACTGAATACCTTTTGGTTTACGATAATGTTGTGATCTACAGCAACTTTCCACAATGCAGGGAATAAAACAAAACCAGCAATGAGCTTACACCACAGAGCTACAGCAGCATCTCACGAAAGATGTAAATGTAGTGCTATTCCTAGCCCCCATCTCGACACAGCCGTGGACATTTTTCCAGCTTGACTGGATTTTCCCCCTCCCTAATTGCTAGTTTTAACTAAAGCCAACGCAGATTAAGAATCAACCCTAAAAGCAGCACAGCGAGTGTGCAGCAATTACGTGCAGAAAGGCATGTGACATTTTGTATCAAAAGCAGAAACGCTAAAATGTAGATACCCCTTGCAGCAGAGAAAACAAAACAACTGCCCGCCTGCTGCTGGTGCCCCGCCAATCCCCAACACCGCGCAGACACACATCCCAAATCCTCCTTCACTCCTACGTCCTCTGCGGACGATGGCTGGGACTCTCCAAAGCCCGCATTCCGCCCCGCACAGCCCGCAGGTCGCCTCGGGCTGGCAGAAGGGGCAGGCGAAGCACAAGGGCGGCGGGGGCAGCGCCGGCAGACGCAGCGCTTGGGTGCAATGGAGATTCCAGCGCCGAGCGGCCGCAGCATCCCGGCGGGCGCGGGATGGGCGCCGCGCCGCCCGAGGCAGGGCTGGCAGCACGCTGCCCCCGCAGCCCGGCCCGCAGCCCCCCGTCCTGCCCCCGCCTTCCCGAGCCCGCCGCAGCCGCTCACCGCAGGCACCCTGCGCGCAGATGGCTTTTCAGCGCGCCCCGTCACGTTTTCCAGGCGGACACAGCCCCCACCGCCCCCCTCCGGGCTTAACGAGCCGGTTCCCGTGTCTGCGCCCCAGCCTCTCCTCCCCTCCCCGCAGCGCCCGTCTCCCCCTCACAGCCCGCCCGCCGCCGGCTGCGCCCCTCAGCCTCCTGCGCACCGTCACCGCCGCGCCGCTCACCCCAGGCAGACGAGAACGGGCGAGAGCGAAGGGGCCGCCGCGGCCGGTCCCCTGGCGAGGCTGTCGCTGTCTCGGTCCCTGGTGCCCTGGCCAGGCTGTCGCTGTCTCGGTCCCCGCCTCCCGCCGCTCCCGCCGCCCCCTCAGGCACCGAGCGGCCCCCGCCCGTCAGGGTGCGGCTTCCACAGCCCGCAAGCCCAACAACGGCGCCGCCCATTGGCGGGAGGGCGCGCGCCCGCCGAGTAAGCGGCTCTCCCATTGGCGGAGGGGGGCGAGGGGCGGTGCGGCCGGGCCGCCCCTGGCGGGTCCCGCGGCTCCGGGAGCGCCGCGGGGCCCGGGCGGCCGGGAGCGGGCTGGGAAGAGCGTTCGGACACAGCGAAAGGCGTTCTGGCGGCGCTGCATCCCAGCGGAAAGGAGCGGCGCGGCGCTGGGGTGCTTATCTCAGAGCGGGCCGGGAGATAGGCGCAGGCAGACGTCGCTAATCGGCGAGGGCGCGCTGCGATAAGGGCTCGTTATCGCGCCGCGGTGGCGGTGTCCGATCGCTGTCAGCTCCCAGCAAGGCCGGGGCGATCCGGGAGGGCAGGACTCACTGGAGACACCTGTCACAGCCCAAGGAGCTGAATCCTCCGGGTGTGAAATGCCAGGCTGGCGAGGAGCCGCGCGCTTGTTCGGGGAAGTGCGCGGATCCATCGCGCGGCTTGTGCGGAGCAGCCTGCGAGAGCTTTCTAAAGCGCCTCCTCAGGCCTCCCGAGGCCTTCGGGGAGCTGTGCCTGGTGTAACCAGCACCAACTGGAAAGTTAACTTCTTCCTCGTACCTATTTTGTGTCCATTTGTACTGTCGTTTCTCTATAATTTTAATTCTGCCGGTCTACACATCTGCGTGTTTTACAGAATTGCTGCCTGCCACGGGACAAATGAAGACTTGGTGGGCTGGGAACAAGCTCTCAGAAACAGTAAACCCTTCTCCTCTGCTATCCACAACCCTCATCCCCAAGTTATCTATATGTAGAGAGGACTCCAGCAAGTAGAACCTGATAGATTTCAGGATCCACAAATTCCTCCTGTGGAATACGGGAGGAATCTAGCCTGCTCCAACCATCTCCCCCAGGGAAACACATCCACTTACCTAAAAGCAGGCCACAGAGATATGCATAAACTTGTCTGTGAATTCAGCCACCAAAAGTGGTGGTTCAGGTGTCAAGTGATGACACAGAATGATTACCACAAATCTGACAATAAGGCCCTACTGGACTTAGATCTGCCTAATCAAAATCATCCCACAGCTGGACATGTGTTAGTGTAATTACTGATGATTAGCAAATTGTGTCTGAACATTTTTTGTAAGAACTGTTTGACACTTTAACATCATTTCACCTGCCTGGTGCTGAACCTTGTAAACCCAGTGGATGTGTGTACATACATGGCAGCATACTCTTGTCCCTGCTCTGCACCTGCAGACTCCAGCCAGCTGCCCCATGCGGTGTTTTTTCTTTGATTACTTGCCAAAATACTCCATCTTGGCATCTCTCTTCCTTTCTTTCCCTTTCTCACCAAAGCATTTAACTCACAGAGCTCTCTCTCTTGTCTCAGAAAGTAAATGAGAGAATGAATTCATATTAGAACTAACTCAGCAAAAAAATACTGCTTTGTTTCAAAGTTAATGGGTTTCCTCTCCAGCTCAGTATGTGGCTCTAAGACCAGCAGTGGCAGGAAGGATGGGGATGTTGAGGGCAGCAGCAGTGCCCAGGGCTGGGGGAGGGCAGGGAAATTTCTTTCTCTGGCAGTGTTGGCTCAAAGTGTTTGTGTAACTGCAGGGTGCAGTGACAGGAGCAGCTTGAGCTGATCAAAGGATGTCTTTTATCAGCTCCTCTTGGCTCTTGTGCTGCTGGTGAGTGCTGTTCCTTTACCTTTCTCTTCTGCTGTCCTACTTTGTGACCTGCCCAAGGGCACAGATTCCTACAGTCTCCTTCCAGCTTTCCCCCTGCCCCTTGCGTTATCTCCAATAATCATGAGGCCACTGTTTCACATGGCTAATCTGAAGGAAAAATTGGGGAGGGGTGATGGGGGGCAGATTCCTGGTGGATCAACCATCTCCCTCCACAGGCTGAGACTGTGACTGATGAGTGACTGTGTTTATCTTCCCTGTTCAGTTTTTGGCCTGCCCAGGTTCCTGACCTGCCTCTGCCCAGCTGCAGGAAGGGCAGTGCTGTGCAATGGCACAGGTAGGGTTACATGGGTAGAAACTCAAGGGAAGGCTCATAAATACTGACACACACTAAAGCTCTGTGCTCTGCTGCAGAAAAAAGACAAGAGAATATCAAAAAGCACTTCTGCATTATTTAAGACATGAAGAACTTGTAGTTGTTAACTCTTACCAGCTGGGTTTGCAGCATTACAGCTACAGCAAAAGGTACAATGTGAACTACACTGAGTGTTTCAGCCTGCAGTATTTGATTCCTTCAAGATTTTGGGTTGCTGGTGAGGGTTTTGGGAAAATGACCAAGGCAAGCTTGTTGCCAGTAGGCTTCCACTTGCCATATGCACATGTACTGGAGAATGGTTACTGGCTTTCAAATAATAGTTGCTCTCCTCATCAGGCTCCAGCAGCAGCAGCAGCACTGGACTCAACTTACATCACAGTCTCAAATCAAAGAGTCAATGTGAATGTATTAATTTACAAATTATTTTCATGTGGCTTTACTAGGTAGCAGAAAAATAGTGCTGCACAATTGTTTTTATGCACCTGACCTCTTTACCTGGCATTAGCACTTTTTGATGCTCAGGTAGCTTCTAGCTACTAGCTACCTGAGAGAAGCACAGCACTAGGCTGATGTCCTACATCTGGCATTAGGACATTTATCTTTTCCTTTATATGGGGTGTGTTTATTCCATATAAGCAGTTCCAGGTCAGTTTTCTCACCTATAAACAGGGACTGATAGTAAGGTAGTAGTATGGTAGATTTTTCTCTCCTGACCTGCCAGAACTGTTCTGTCTTGACAGTCTGTTGATCAGGCAGGACTTGTTTGCCTGCTGTCATCACCTGTCTTCATCTCACACAGACCTACTCCATTTTTCAGAAAAAGTCCTGGATCCTCCAATTAAAGCAATGCCAGTATGTGAATTTTCTACTGCTTTTCCCATGGGCCTTCAAAAGGAGAGTCCTAGCAGCAAAACTTCCCTGTGCCAGCAAAGTAAAAACCAGTCCCTGGCCAGTCATACCAGAGTTGGAGTGTTGGGAGGGTGTGTGGGGACAAACACAAGTTACCTGTACAAAATAGCCCAAGAACAGCCCTATGTGTGCTGTGTCTCTCATTGGCACCCAGGACTCTGCTGGAAATGGGACAAGGGAGCTTACACACATGCAGCATTACTAATGAAAAGCTCATGAGGGATTTGTCTTTGTAATTATTGCATGTAAATGCTTTTTTCAATGTTATGTAATAGGTTATCTTAATTTCAGCTGTGCATAACACCAGTAATATCTCATGGTTTATTTGTAGTATTACTAAAGTTGGTGATTATATATAAGGTTATGTCTGAAGTACATGAATTCTTGTTCTTCAGAGGGAGCTCTTTTTTGAATTTTACTAATTTATGCAAGGAAGGGACTGGAAATACCATGTAGAAACAATTTTAATGTAGGTTCAATAGAAAGATTACATGGAGTAAAAAAGTGCATTCTGGTCTACTTTCATCTCTCTCCACAACCAAACAAAAACACATCTAAGGTTTGTTTCAGCTGGAAAAAAATTAAAATTCAGATAACCGAAACAGCAGGTGGACAAAGGGGCAGAGCAGCTGGAATAGGCCCATACTAAATGTTGCCAAATTGTATACAATCTTAATCTGAGAGGCCACTTTGGCTTTAAGTTTGAAAAATGTTGACTTTATGCTCAGGGGACATGGAGAAATTTTTATACATGATTGAGATAAAATGTGAAGGGAGCTATATGGTTCAAGCTCATTAAAAGCACTTGCAGTTAAACAAAACCAAAGGTGCAATGATTGCTTTACACAAAGGAACTCCAGCAACCAACATTCTCTTTAATGTTGCAATATTTCTTTGTGAAGGCTAGGGCTTGTTTTTCCAAAATGCTTTTCCAAGTAAAACCAATTAATTTAATTGCAACCTCTACGACTTCCTCAGTATCATCTGCCTTCTAGTTGTATGTTCACTGTTAGTTGCTTAGACATGAATTCCAGTGTGACTAGAGCAGCTGCAAATGTTTTTAGCTGCTCTGTAATAGCATCTTTATCCCTAATAGTAGGAGAAGGCAAAATGTCATTAAAAGAAGTTAGAACTTTTGAACTAACTTTAGAACTATAAGCAGACTCGAGGGTAAAACAGAGAAAGGAAAAACATATCAGGGCAAGTTCAAACTAATGAGGAGGGCTGAGAAGCATAAGAAAAATATTTTAAGATAGCTACTATTTTAATTATATACATGAGAAAGTTAATTAATCTTGAGAGAAGCTTTGTAATATTAGAATATCAAATTTTTAATTCCCTACATTTAATTCCCTGACATTTAATTTTTAAATGGCACAATTTCAGCAGTACTCCCATGGTTAGGGTGTGGCTGTCATTTTCTTGGAAAAATAAATCAGCATGAAGGTTAGTACAGTGCAAATGAATGTAAATTAAAGCACAACATAATCAATGAAGCCTAAACCAGACAGCTTGTGAAGCCACAGCTGGAGCACCTTTCCATATTGGCCCTGTAATAAAACTCTTTAAGAACTTTCCATGGGACAGACTCTCCTGTTTTCTGTGGTGCTATGGTGGCATCACTGGCCTTCAGTTCAGGTGCAAAACTCCAGCCATGCAAAAGGCTGTCCAGACCAGAATTTCAGTGCACATCAGCCAGCCCAAGAACCAGCTTTCCTCTTGTTTTATATATCCAGCCATCTCATCCTACAAATGGTTTTTAACACTGTCATTTCTGTAAAAAACCAACTCCAGGAGAGATATATGTAACATTACATTAAAAGTGATTCTTTGATATATCCAAGATCACATGCCTCTCAGGACCACATCATCAGCCTGAGAGGCTGAATTAACCACTTCCTGGGAACTAGATACTGTAAGGAGGAAGATACAAGTGAGGGACAGTAATGACCATCCTGTAATTACAAT